TTCGCTTGATTTGGTGAGGGATGCCCTAGGGATAACAGGAAAAAATGCTTATTATGCCCCTAGCTTGGGCCATCTTTGCTAAAACTTGTGCTGTTAAGTTGTATGAGTATTGTGAAGCCTTTTCAAGCTGGACTTTGTGTAACGACCCACCCTAGGCCGTCACATCAATAACCAATGTGACAACTAACATAAAATAATATATAATAAAGAAAAGAGAGCAAAGGCCAGCTACACTAGAGTGTAAATATAAAATAACGTAGAAATTATTTTCAGCATATAAAACATAACTTTATAAAAGAGTCATCATCAATATGGTTATACAGTCATCCTAAAAGATAATATGTATACAACATCATAGAGACATCAAAATAAGACATCCTAGGTGCTGGTCAAGCTAAGTCTAGCCACTTCTTAAAGCAGCTACCAAAAGACTCCTTGCCATCCCAAAGCCTCACACCTGATCTACTCCCCCACATAGTGAGATCATCACCACATCACAGAAATATAAGGGTTAGCATGTATAAAACCAACCATAGTACAATATAATTGAAATATCATCAAATTAGATATTCATCAACAACATCTATCCATACCAAGGGAATGACAACATTATGACAAGTCATTTCCATGCCAAATATAAGCAAATCCAAAAATCCAATGTATACACATCCATGCGAATGCATACATACTCTATATTAATAAAGAATCCATGACCAATGTATACAATCCATACCAAATGCATACATATTCCACGTCCAAACCAAAGTCACACCACTGTATAATCCCATGAAGTAGCCAACACATCCAAACCAAATTTTGAGCTCAACATATCCAAACCAAGTGTTGAATTTCGTGAACATGTCACTTACCCATGTCACACACCTAACCTCTCATGGAAAATATACAGTTGGATTACATCGTCATGTAACCCTGGTGATCTTGGCCACTTCATCCATCGGTATGACTCGGCCTTACCCTCATATTGATAGCAAATAGAATACTTAGAGGAGTACTTCAGAATCCACTTAACATCTGTAGTGGTTTATTATATAATCTTTAGAAAAGTTCCATATTGGGATCCCCACCATGGGACCCCCAATTTCCATATTTTCCCAAAGATTATATCCAGATCTCACCAAGTGATCTCCCAATCCATACCATAACCTTACTCCTCTAAGTCCTATTAGCTTTCCATATCAAACACACATAAGCACATTCCATAATTACATGCAATCTTTTCCATAACCATGCCACATTCCATACCTAATATATAACATCAAAGATGATATGATTCAACATTTAAAGGTTCCATAAAAACTTAATTATAAAAGGTTTTCCTCAAATGGACCACGCGCCCAGCGCACTCAGGTCACGCCCGACGTAAACTCAAACAGAGACCTATAGAGGTCTCAGTGCCCAACACAATTGCCTTACGCCCAGCGTAATTCTAGATAGAGACTCCCAATGAGTCTCCACGCCTGGCTTGCTCAGATCACGCTCGGTGCCATATCAGTAACCAAAAATAAAATACTCACGTCTGCTAGCACGCCTGACGTCGTTCCCCTCGCGCTCGGCGTGATTTGACAATGGTGGTCCCTGATGAATGCACGCCCGGCACCAAGAACTACGCCCGGTGCCAAGAACTGCGCCTGGCACATGTTCTACCAGAAACCCCCAAAAACTTCAAAAACTTCTTCCCAACATGAACCCAATCCAAATTACACGAGTTCAAATCATTATAAAGCATAAATACTATCCAAAAACAACATATTAAGCAATGAAATCAAGTCTTAACCACTAATTCGTGGAAAATCATGGAGAAACCCCAACTGAAACCCTTTCGCCTCAATTCATCCTTAATCAGGCATAAATCATGGAATCAATGTGATATTTCAAACCCATACATACTAGATTAAGTCTTATAAGTACCAACCTTACCTCAAAAACCTCAGAAATGCAAGATTTGAACAAAACCCTCAAATCCCAATTCAAATTTTAATGCCCCTTTTCAAGGCTTTAGAGGCCAAATCTCTTGAAACTCTAGTTGTGAAGATTGATCCTGGCTTGATAAGCTTCCCAAATGTGTCCTCAGCTTCCTTCTGGATCAGAGCCTCTCTCTAGAAACTGTCTCTATTTGACAAATGAGACCCTCCGGTCCTAAGTCCCTATATATGGCCGTTTTCCAAAATTTCCAAATTTCACCCTTAGGACCTATTCACCTTAAATATCCTATTCCTTGAAGTATTTCAACTCCCTACACTCTAAAACAACCTCAAATTCACTCAAAAAGACCAGATTTATCTTATGTTCCTATCCTCCAATCTCCTACCTTTTCTATTCCTCTCCATGCAATATTCACAACCCACCACCATATGAAATGTAACATGTATCAACATATAAAAAACATCACCTTCAAATACATATTCTTGGAATAATGAGTTGCATGGCATAATACTTCACTTAACTAATATGACAAGGAAGTTGATCAATCTTCTTCCCTCTTAGTGCCAGTTCAGTATAATGGTGTACAATGCATCATTCACCATATTCATGCACACACATGCCTATATAAACCTCTCAAAACATCAACCTCTCATCTCATACTATAAAAACACATGCTCTCCCTCTGAAAACTCCAAAGGTTTCCTCCTCTTGTCTGTGTAAGATTTTTGCCTACTTTGTAGTCTGTAAGATGATCTCTGGCCCCACTATCATTGATTCTCCCTCTTTAAACTAACACAGAGGTGTTCGACACTTCCTCCCATATAGAGCCTCAAATGGTGCCATCCCTATACTTGCATGAAAACTGTTATTATAAGTGAACTCGACCAACTGCACACTTAGTTAATCTATCCACGATCATCCAAATAGAATCACAATTCTTAGCAGACCTTGGCAAACCAATAACAAAATCCATGGCAATACTATCCCATTTCCATTTTGGAACTTCCATCATCTGTAACAAACCTCCTGGTTTTTGATGTTCTACTTTAGCTTTCTGACACACAATGCAAGATGCAACATACTCGGCTACCTCCCTTTTCATACCATTCAACCAAAACATTTTCTTCAAATCTTGATACATTTTTGTCATACCCGGATGTACACTCAACTTGCTCTTATGACCTTCCTCAAGTATCAACTTCTTCAACTCCTCATCTCGCGGAATACAAATTCTGCCCTTGTACCTCAAAACTCCATCCACATCTTGTTCAAATCCTTCAGCTTTCTTAGAACCCAACAACTTTCTAACCTTATTCAAACCCGCATCCTAAACTTGTTTTTGTTTCACCATTTCCAAGAAATCACTAGTAATGTAGTCATACCACAACTAATAAGGTCTGGAGCAACCAAAACGTTAAGATTCATATCCCTGAATCTCTCTACCAGCTCCATCTCTTTAACCATCATGTAAGACATATGAAGAGATTTTCTGCTCAAAGCATCCGTCACTACATTTGCTTTACCTGGATGGTACATTAGCTGAAAGTCATAGTCTTTCAAAAACTCAATCCACCTCCTTTGCCTCATATTTAACTCTTTCTGATCAAACAAATATTTCAAACTTTTATGATCACTAAACACATCAAACTTTGCTCGGTAGAGGTAATGCCTCCAAATCTTCAAAGCAAAAACCACCGTAGCCAACTCCTGATCATGTGTAGGATAATTCCGTTCATGTGTCTTCAATTGTCTAGATGCATAGGCCACAACCTGCCTATCTTGCATAAGAACACATCCTAAACCTTGATGAGATGCATCATAATAAACCTCAAAAGATTTATTGGGATCCAGCAGAATCAACACAGGAGATGACATCAACTTCTTCTTTAACTCTTAAAATCTCTTCTCACACTCTTCCGTCCATACAAAAGGATGATCCTTCCTGGTCAACTGTGTCAAAGGCATGACTATTTTAGAAAACCCTTCTATGAATCTTCTATAATAGCCAGCCAATCTCAAAAAACCTGTAACTTCAGTAACTGATTTCGGACACTCCCACATCAAAACCGCTTCCACCTTAGTAGGATCAACTGCAATTCCTTGTGCAGAAATCACATGACCCAAAAACTTAACTTCAGATAGCCAAAACTCACATTTCGACAACTTTGCAAATAATTGTTTCTCCTTCAATATCTGCAAAACTATCCTCAAATGTTCTCTATGTTCTTCCATAGATCCAGAATAAACCAAAATGTCATCAATGAACACCACAACAAACTTATCCAAAAAGGGTCTGAAAATCCTGTTCATATAATCCATGAAAATACATAGAGCATTTATCACTCCAAAAGGCATAACGATATACTCATAATGGTCATACCGAGTCCTGAAAGCAGTCTTTGGTATGACCGAGTTATGTAGCTACTTTGGATATTATTGAATGAGCATTTCTCTCAAAGAATTCTCTTCTCCGAAGTCACCTTTGCTTCTAGCCTCTACCCTCAAAAAACTTAATTTCAGATAGCCAAAACTCACATTTGGACAACTTTGCAAATAACTGTTTCTTTTTCAACACCTACAAAACTATCCTCAAATGTTCTCTATGTTCCTCCATAGATCTAGAATAGACCAAAATGTCATCAATGAACACCACAAAAAACTTATCTAGAAAGGGTATGAAAATCCTGTTCATATAATCCATGAAAATAGCTGGAGCATTCGTCACTCCCAAAAGGCATAACGACATACTCATAATGGTCATACCAAGTCTTGAAAGCAGTCTTTGGTATGTCCTCCTCCTTTACCCGAATCTGGTGATACCTAGACCTCAAATCAATCTCGGAGAAAATAGAAGCCCCCCTCAATTGATCCATCAAATCATTTATCCTTGGCAATGGATTCTTATTCTTGATTGTCAATTTATTTAACTGCCTCTAATCCACACATAACCTCACACCATTATCCTTCTTCTTGACCAATAACACAGGTGCTCCCCATGGAGACACACTAGGTCTGATCACCTGCTTCTCCAAAAGTTCCTCAACCTGCTTCTTCAATTAAGACAATTCCGCTGGTGCCATTCTATAAGGAGAAATGGACACTGGTCCCGCCCCTGGTATTAGATCAAAACTAAACTCCAACTCTCCCTTTAGTGGTAACCCCGGAACATCATCCGGAAAAACCTCTGGGAAATCTCTAACAACATCGATACTATTTAACAACTTTTCATTCTCTAAACTGATAAAAGATAAGACAATAAACCCAAGAGCTCCACCCTTCAACAAACCATCCACCTGTCCACTAGAAATAAATCTCTCTTGTTCAACAGTAGGAAAGATTAATCGCCTCTTTGAATAATCTATAAAAATCCTATTGGCAGAATGCCAATCCATTCCTAAAATCACATCCAAATCTGATAAAGGTAAACAAAAAAAATTCACTTTATAACAACGCCCTGGTGTTTCTAACAACCTCGGTAGTGTGAGTTTGCCCTCTCCAGGGTTGCGTACCTCCGTGCTTCTGGTCACTTTGGTAGCGTGAGTTTGCCCTCTCCAGGGTCAACTTCACTCGACGCCCGAGCTGGAAGTTGCATACCTCCGTGTTTCTGACGACGGGGTAGTGTGAGTACTGCCTCTCCAGGCTTAGCTTCACTCGTCGCTCGAGCCGGAAGCTGCATACCTCCGTGTTTGTGACGACGGGGTAGCGTGAGTTTGCCCTCTCCAGGGTCAACTTCACTCGACGCCCGAGCTGGAAGTTGCATACCTCCGTGTTTCTGACGACGGGGTAGTTTGTTTTGCTCCATATTTTTCAAGGATTTAATTTAACTAGGTCTCACTATTTTTGGATGAACCTAGCTAAACCAAATCAAACATTTTTGAAATGGATTAATGGGGCAAATAGAGTCCAAGACTGCCTAGCTTGCCTAATTTCCTTCCTTTGGTCGAAATTGCTTCTAGCTTTAGTGTTTTTGGGAAGCTTGTGCTCTAAGCTTCTAACTTAGCCTGCTTCCCAAGCAAGCTAAGGTAGAAGCTTGCTCCACAAGCCTCCTAAAACTAGAGTCGACGGTCAAAGTTAAGCCAACCATGGTTCACTTGAACCATGGTTAAGCTTAGCTTCCTCCACAAGATTCCTACTTCTATATATTTGTAAACCTCTCATTTTCCCACACTTTAGATGAATGAAATCAAAATTTCTAAAAGAATTATCTCTTCTCAAAGTCACTTTAGTCGTGGAGAATTTTCTCTCCTAGTTCCTTCACAAAGGTTTCCACCTTTGTGCCTTAGAACCTTGTCTCCTTCTACTTGTATAAGGAGTAACCGAGCACTCCTTAGTGCTTCTTCACCATTGGAGCTTCTTCAAAGGTGATTCTTTATCATTGGCATGCCTAACCTCAAGAGAAGAAAAGGATTGAAGGTGGAGCTTGAAGAACATCAACCATTCTTCAAGGCTAGTCCATCATGGAGTCTCTGGTTGAGTTCACATCGGACATGAGGAGAACCATGTCGGGCGCTATATCAGATAGTGGTTTGTTGTGGCATTTTACTAATATGGTGCTGGGCGTGGAGACCTTTGGTAGTCTCTGTCTTAAGGACATCGGGCTTGAGTTGATTGTGCCGGATGTGGATGAGCCTTAGAGCTCTCGGGTTAGATGTTAGGTCGAGCTCAAGCTGGTTGCGCCAGGCGTGAGTATGTTTAGTGATGTTGATTGAAAATGATGTTTATGCATGTTTAAAGTTCAAGATTTGATCATGTATGTATGATATATAATGTATGGTGGTGTATGATTCATATGTATGCTTGGTAATGATATATATGAATCACTACAAGAAAAAGTTGAATTTTCGACGGATGATTTTCCATGGACAAAAATCCGTTGGAAATTTCCCATGGATTTAGATCCGTCGGAAATTTTTGATGGAATTTTAACTAATGGAATTTCCGACGGATTTAAATCTGTCTAAAATTTCTGACGGAATTTCCGATGGATTTAAATCCGTCTGAAATTTTTGACGGATTTAAATCCGTATGAAATTATTAAATAAAATATAAGCCAATTATTTTTCAAATGCAAGCAATCCTAATCCCATTGATACACACAACAATGCATTGTATAATATTTTCATTATTATATGGGTGTTTTCAAAATATAAATATATTGTAATGAATAAGATAAATATAAATCAGAGTGAGTGATGTATGACTTACCTATATATAATTATATGTTTAGGTTATTATAAATTATAAACTAATTAGTGTAAATGTATTTTTTTATACTTATCTTGAAAAATACCAACACATGACGTCCAAATTTAAGAATAACATATCTTTTTTTTAATTTTTTAAAAATCACTCATCTCTTTGAAAATAACGTTATTAATTAAATAAGGGGGAAAAAAGTTAAATTATGTTCTGCAAATCATATATATGTATCTATCATTTATTTCTAAATTACATCCAATACTATGTCATTTTCATGAAAACTTTCATTGATCTTCAATTTTGAAAATAAGATTTTTTTCAATTCATTTTTAAAATTATTACTTAAATTTAATATATTTTTTAAATCACAGTGTGCATGATATTTAAAATAAATTTCAAAAAAGTTGAAATAATGAAATAAGAGATCAAATCTCATTTAATTATTGATATTTGTATTAATAAATTATTTTCTCTTAATAGTATATAAATAGTATTATCTTATATAAGTAGTTGTATGTGCCACTTAAATAAAAAAATATAATTATGTAACATAGTAACTAGGATTTCAAAGTTTAGTGGATGCTAGAGATAAAAGTATATAAGATTTTCTTTGAGAGGGAGCCTCATAAGCTCATTCTCAAAGAAAGCTTAGAGACAAGGTGATATATTAAAGGAACCAAAAGGAATGGGATAATTTTGAAGACCTTTTCATATGTTTGTAAATATAGTAGTTACTTGTATAGGTTCATTTTGCCTTTGTATTTGTAAGGCACTTTGTTTCCTTTTTATAGATCATTGTATAGGGAATTTAAAGTAGGTTCTTTTGGGACTTTTACTCCATTTGACCTTGTATTAAAAGTCAACCATTTTTACATTTTTCAGTAGTAGAAGAGGGGTAGCAAATAGCAAGGCATGAGGGTGTATTTAGCAATTAGGCCAAAATTGGGCCTAGGCAAAATTTTACATATTGGACTTGTTTTGCTCCATATTTTTCAAGGATTTAATTTAACTAGGTCTCACTATTTTTGGATGAACCTAGCTAAACCAAATCAAACATTTTTGAAATGGATTAATGGGGCAAATAGAGTCCAAGACTGCCTAGCTTGCCTAATTTCCTTCCTTTGGTCGAAATTGCTTCTAGCTTTAGTGTTTTTGGGAAGCTTGTGCTCTAAGCTTCTAACTTAGCCTGCTTCCCAAGCAAGCTAAGGTAGAAGCTTGCTCCACAAGCCTCCTAAAACTAGAGTCGACGGTCAAAGTTAAGCCAACCATGGTTCACTTGAACCATGGTTAAGCTTAGCTTCCTCCACAAGATTCCTACTTCTATATATTTGTAAACCTCTCATTTTCCCACACTTTAGATGAATGAAATCAAAATTTCTAAAAGAATTATCTCTTCTCAAAGTCACTTTAGTCGTGGAGAATTTTCTCTCCTAGTTCCTTCACAAAGGTTTCCACCTTTGTGCCTTAGAACCTTGTCTCCTTCTACTTGTATAAGGAGTAACCGAGCACTCCTTAGTGCTTCTTCACCATTGGAGCTTCTTCAAAGGTGATTCTTTATCATTGGCATGCCTAACCTCAAGAGAAGAAAAGGATTGAAGGTGGAGCTTGAAGAACATCAACCATTCTTCAAGGCTAGTCCATCATGGAGTCTCTGGTTGAGTTCACATCGGACATGAGGAGAACCATGTCGGGCGCTATATCAGATAGTGGTTTGTTGTGGCATTTTACTAATATGGTGCTGGGCGTGGAGACCTTTGGTAGTCTCTGTCTTAAGGACATCGGGCTTGAGTTGATTGTGCCGGATGTGGATGAGCCTTAGAGCTCTCGGGTTAGATGTTAGGTCGAGCTCAAGCTGGTTGCGCCAGGCGTGAGTATGTTTAGTGATGTTGATTGAAAATGATGTTTATGCATGTTTAAAGTTCAAGATTTGATCATGTATGTATGATATATAATGTATGGTGGTGTATGATTCATATGTATGCTTGGTAATGATATATATGAATCACTACAAGAAAAAGTTGAATTTTCGACGGATGATTTTCCATGGACAAAAATCCGTTGGAAATTTCCCATGGATTTAGATCCGTCGGAAATTTTTGATGGAATTTTAACTAATGGAATTTCCGACGGATTTAAATCTGTCTAAAATTTCTGACGGAATTTCCGATGGATTTAAATCCGTCTGAAATTTTTGACGGATTTAAATCCGTATGAAATTATTAAATAAAATATAAGCCAATTATTTTTCAAATAAAAATTTCAGACGGATTTAAATCCATCGGAAATTCCGTCAGAAATTTTAGACAGATTTAAATCCGTCGGAAATTCCATTAGTTAAAATTCCATCAAAAATTTCCGACGGATCTAAATCCATGGGAAATTTCCAACGGATTTTTGTCCATGGAAAATCATCCGTCGAAAATTCAACTTTTTCTTGTAGTGATTCATATATATCATTACCAAGCATACATATGAATCATACACCACCATACATTATATATCATACATACATGATCAAATCTTGAACTTTAAACATGCATAAACATCATTTTCAATCAACATCACTAAACATACTCACGCCTGGCGCAACCAGCTTGAGCTCGACCTAACATCTAACCCGAGAGCTCTAAGGCTCATCCACATCCGGCACAATCAACTCAAGCCCGATGTCCTTAAGACAGAGACTACCAAAGGTCTCCACGCCCAGCACCATATTAGTAAAATGCCACAACAAACCACTATCTGATATAGCGCCCGACATGGTTCTCCTCATGTCCGATGTGAACTCAACCAGAGACTCCATGATGGACTAGCCTTGAAGAATGGTTGATGTTCTTCAAGCTCCACCTTCAATCCTTTTCTTCTCTTGAGGTTAGGCATGCCAATGATAAAGAATCACCTTTGAAGAAGCTCCAATGGTGAAGAAGCACTAAGGAGTGCTCGGTTACTCCTCCACACAGAAAGAACTCACAACCAAATTTAATCTCGCCACACATTCATAAGAAATAAAATAATGTGAAGCACCAGAATCAAATAAAATAGAAACATCATTACCATCAGCTTTACCCTTTCCCTTCACCAATTCAGATGACATTTCAGCTTCAACACCAGTTAGAGCAAAGACACGACCTGTTGTGGTAGGTTGATCCATTTTCTAGTTCCCTCTAGCTTGAGTATTTCTTACATTGAAATCGTTAGCCATATGACCCACCTTGCCACATTTAAAACACACACAATCCTTTATAGGAAAATCCCTCATCATATGTGGGCGTCCACATCTGAAACATCTAGAACTCTGAACAACTTCTGTAGTAGTAGTACCTATTGGTTTCTTATTAGCATTCCCCTTCTAAAATGGACACGGTCTCTTTTGTGAATGTTTCCCCCTTCCAAATCTAGATGATCCCTCTGAACCCTTTGTCGCTCTAGTTCCTCCTTCCAATCTTTTAACTATTTTTGCCTTTTCAACTAGAACTGGGAACTCCACAATTCCTATAAGAACAATAGTCTTCTTCAGCTCATACCTTAAACGCTCACTGAACTTCCTACATCTCCAGGCTTTAGTGATAGCTTGAGAATAATATCTAGCCAAGTGTTCAAACTTGGCCACATACTCTTGTACTGACATATTCCCTTCCTGTAGTCTCAAAAACTCAGCTTCCTTAGCATACCTGGCGCTATCTAGAAAATATTTCTCTAGGAACACCTTTTTGAAACTTTCCCAATTCACTGCTTCCCCTCTAGCCTCGATCATAGCCTGAGCACCTTTCCACCAAAAACTTGCCTCACCCACCAACATTAAACAACATAAACTAACTACCTCTCCTCAGGACAATGCATCACTATGAAGATTTTCTCCATCTTCTCAATCCACTGGTCAACAGCTTCAGGTCCATCAACACCTGTAAACTGAGGAAGATTCCTTTTTCTGAACTTTGACAAACCCCTGTACTCATCAGGTACCTCAGCCCTAGCTGCTTCAGCTACAACCTAATTGGTCTCCATCTGAGCCACCAAAGTATTTTGTTGTCCAATAACAGCAGCAATTAGCTCCATAGCTTGAGCAATTTTTCGCTCATCCACACTTGAAGAAGGATTAGAATGGTTTCCCCTACCAACCATCCTAATCAGATAAAAGATCAAGGAACCCATGAGTTTACACTAAAACACATAAAAATTTCATTTCCAAAATCCATTTCCTCACAAAAGAAACATAACAAGACCATTTCCCACAAACCCCAATGAGGCTTGACCAGCTCTGATACCGACAAGTGTAATGACCCGCCCTAGGCCGTCACATCAATAACAAATATGACAACTAACATAAAATAATATATAATAAAGAAAAGAAAGCAAAGGTCAGCTACACTAGAGTGTAAATATAAAATAACGTATAAATTGTTTTCATCATATAAAACAACTTTATAAAAGAGTCATCATTAGTATGGATATACAGTCATCCAAAAAGATAATATGTATACAACATCATAAAGACATCAAAATAAGACACCCTAGGTGCTGGTCATGTTCTAAGTCTAGCCACTTCTCAAAGCAGCTACCAAAAGACTTCTTTCTATCCCAAAGCCTCACACCTGATCTGTTCCCCCATATAGTGAGATCATCACAGTCAATATCATGGAAATATAAGGGCTAGCACGTCTAAAACCAACCATAGTACAATATAATTGAAATATCATCAAATTAGATATTCATCAACAACATCTATCAATACCAAGGGAATGAAAACATTATGACAAGTCATTTCCATCCCAAATATAAGCAAATCCAAAAATCCAATGTATACACATCCATGCCAATGCATACATACTCTATAATATTAAAGAATCCATGACCAATGTATACAATCCATACCAAATGCATACATATTCCACGTCCAAACCAAAGTCACACCACTGTATAATCCCATGAAGTAGCCAACACATCCAAACCAAATGTTGACCTCAACACATCCAAACCAAGTGTTGAATTTCGTGAACATGTCACCTGCCCATGTCACACACCTAACCTCTCATGGAAAATATACAGTTGGATTACATCGTCATGTAACCCTGGTGATCCTGGCCACTTCATCCATCGGTATGACTCGGCCTTGCCCTCATACCAGTAGCAAATAGAATGCTTAGAGGAGTACTTCAGAATCCACCTAACATCTGAAGTGGTTTATTATATAATCTTTGGAAAAGTTCCATATTGGGATCCCCACCATGGGACCCCCAAATTCCATATTTTTCCAAAGATTATATCTAGATCTCACCAAGAGATCTCCCAATCCTTACCATAACCTTACTCCTCTAAGACCTATTAGTTTTCCATATCAAACACACATAAGAACATTCCATAATTACATGCAATCTTTTCCATAACCATTCCACATTCCATACCAAATATATTACATCAAAGATGATTTGATTCAACATTTTAAATTTCCATAAAAACTTAATTATAAAAGGTTTTCCTCAAATGGACCACGCGCCCAGCGCACTCAGGTTGCGCCCGACGCAAACTCAAATAGAGACCTACAGAGGTCTCAGTGCCCGGCGCAATTTCCTTACGCCCAGCGCAATTCCAGACAGAGACTCCCAATGAGTCTCTGTAGACCCCTAAAATTGTCCGGGTCGGAAATA